AACATCCATTGATTACTACGTCAACTTTTGCATTGATCTTCTATGTATGAATGATGTGGCCAAATGATAAGGTGTGTGTAGAGGATAACATTTTAGTCTACGACAGTGATTAGATTAGTGCTCAAGTTTTGTTACTCAACGTCAAAGCTGAAGCTGGAAAGTAATGTTATAGAATGGGGCACTGGCCGGTGAGAATCATGAATGGCTTTATACCATGTCGTCTTCTTGTGCTTTCTAGAAGGGTTTGAGGGAAAAAAAAATTTGCTGGCAGCTAGCTTCACCGGATTCATGATGCGGCTGTCAACATTTCAGACCAGCATTGTATCGTAGGGTGTTTCTAGTTCTCAAACTTGTCAAATTCTTCATAGATAAGTAAGTTATTCACAAATATATATTAAGATTTTTTTAAAAAAATATATATGTTCAGATCCTGTGTATCTTTCTTTGTCTCTCCCATGCCCTCGCTAAATGTGCATCTAATCTGTTTAAACTTTTTTTTTAAAGGTTTTCTGAGTTAATAAATGTTGCGACCATGTATATAAAGCAACGTTAGTCAATTCGGTTGCAGGACCTCATTAATTAGTGCAATAAAACATATAACATCTCCATTTTCTTTGCTTACACGTTAATATATTGGGTTTATCTCTCCATTTATCATTCATGCAAATATAGTACTACCTTCTCGAGAATCTAAAATGTTAAAAAACTACTACGTCAAACATATTACTATCTTAATTGGTTGAGAAATTTTTATTTTTTCCCATATCACATCGATCATTACATATGAGCTTATAATTGATATGCCAAACATTGATTGAGTGAATGAGATACAATACATAGACCACGAAGTGAATCAATAATATACATTAACTCCATGTGGTGTGAAGCTGTGAATGGTATCCTTGGCTATCTATTCTAGAGCAGTTTCTCCTAACTCTCCTTTTAACAGTATACATTTGACCAAACTGCAACTACATTAGGACTAACTCCACTTTGTGACTTAGGTTGCATTTGATAAAAGCGAAGTTTGAAAATTAAAATCTGAAATATAAAGTTTCAATTCATTAAGTTATTGAATTGTTAAGTAGTAAATCTAATACATTTGAGTGTATATCACATTCAGTGATAAGTGAATAGCTTATCAATTAATTTTGAGAGCAAATTTTGCCTAGAAAATTCAGTACAACTTAATTAATTCAGATGTTCAATTTTTAGATATCAAACGCGTCTAAACATATTAAAATCTGAATCTATTAAATTTAAATGTTGAATAGGGTTTCAAACAGGGCCTTAATCTCATTGTGCATCTTAAATTTTAATTTTAGACACTTTACACTCTAGTCTTTCACATTTGTCTCACTTAAGTCCAACCGATAACACTGTTGGCAAAACTGGTAGAATCAAGAATTGCTCAATTTAAGGGCTGTGTGCTAAAAGTCATCAAAAAAGCAAAGGGTCCGCAGATTCATGATTGAAACAAAATGATACGATTTCGTTGATTTGTACGGTCCTCTATGCTTTTAATTTTGTCAATGATGTTATAGATTGAAGTTATGTAGGACAAATATGAGAGGCTAGGGAGCGGAGCATGTTCGAAATTGAAATTTCAAGTGTAAAACGAGAATGGGGTATAGATTAGGAAGTGTAAAGTTGAATTAGTCCGTTACTCTATACAAATCAAAAAAGTCCACAGATGGGCAGGTGCCACCTGTCTAGATAAAAAAAAAAAAGCAATGAGCACTTTAGAATCTACAAGACTTATTAATGCAAGCGAATCTCTTCTCCCTCTGACTTAAACCTAATGGTTAAGAAGAGTCAAGGACTTGGTTGTGGTGTATTTTCTCAAGGTTCAGTGCTCAAATTAATTCTGAGGCTAGACTATGCGATTGAACAATATCTGCCGCACAGAAACATGTTTTTCTAGTTCTAAAATGTAGGTTAATGGAAAAGATTCGACTAAACCACAATAATATATGACGAGGCATCTCTGTGAAAAAAAAATTAAAATAGGAAAGTAAATGTGATAGCAGCATATGACACATATAATCAACACGAGTTGAGCTTCTGCACAATGCCTGGTAAGACCTCATTATCTTTTAATCTTAAGCTTTTATTAATCAGCAGAGTAGCCTGGATTATCTTCCAAGTTTTTCTGAAAACAACCATCCAATGAAGCAGAGCCAAATATCGTGACTTCAACAAAACTATGGTTACTTTCAATTGGAGGCAAAGTGAAAGGCATCAACCTAAAGAACATGTTTAAAGAATCCAGTTTATATCTGAGGTGTAGATAATTAGACGGAGCTAAAGATATGTAGGTTGATTATGGAGATCCAGAGTCAAGGTTGTTTCTGCATCTTTTCAATGTTCAACTCGGTGTGAAGCATGCACGTCCACTAACAAGTACCTAATTAAGCTAATTACCAACTTGATCAAATTGTCAACAAGAAAAGAAAAACCAACCTTTCAAAAAGGTTTTTTGGCCTTACATATTGAATCAGATTCAACGGTGCTGGTGGATATGATTGAGGGCGGCCGTGTCAATGTTCCATGGAATGTTCAGAGGGTTTTGATCAATTGATTCAATTTAAGCAACACTTTTTCCAGATTTCCCATTGCCTTTGGGAGGCTAAAAAACTTGCGGATAGGCTGGCTAATATTGGGGTATTTGAAGCTAGTAACAAGGTTTATGATCGTTTTTCAGCTTTGCCAAGGATGGTTCACGGGGATTTTTTTTGTTTTTTTTTTTTGGCATTCGTCGCTATTTTATCTATATCCTACTTTATCATAATCAATCTAAAAATAAATTGATAATTTAGGATTTCCTTCTTTTGGACGAGGATAGCCTTAGGTATTTTCAAATCACTTATAAAAAGGAGTAGGACTCTTAATTTCGCGACTTTTTTCAAAAATTCATGTAATTATGGAGTTCAGGTTTATGTCTCCCTCCCTTTTCTTTTTTTCTAGCTTATTAATAAAATTCCAAAAGTGGCTCCCTCCCCTATGTACGGGGTTAGCCCTTAAAAAAAAGAAAAAAGAAACGAAAACCCAAATTAAATTTAAAAAAAAAAAAGAATAATTTTCCATCTTGTTTGGCTGTTGAAATGTCAAGAGCCTAGCTGATTGATATGACTGTCTAATTGTCTGGGATAAATTACGGTCTGCAATATACCAAATGGTGACTTACAAAATATTGCAGGGCATGTTCTTGTTTTTCTAGTATGACAACTGTTCTTTAGCATTTAATTTATTTTGTTGTGTATAGGTGAGAAAATGCCAGAGTCTCTCAAGTTCATATGGAACATTCCATGTTCAGGTATCCAATCTAACATGCCTCTTTGATGATCAACTTCAAAAAATGAGGGTATAGTTTCTTACAACTGGAAATGAGGGTGCAATTTGACCTAAACTTAATGCACTAGAAAGATAAAAGAAAGGCAAGAAAGTTGTCAATTTAGGCACCCAAAAAGTCAAATTTCAACATATTATTAGGAGACAGCATTTTTAATAGTGTCTCCAGATTGGGTTTTTGTTCCTCAACCCTAAAGCAGTAAAGCTGGAATACAATACTTTTGAGTTGCCTCTAAAAGTAACTAACTACTTTATTAACTTCAAAGTGTATATTTGTGCCTTTCTTGAAGGGTTGAGAAGCATCATCAGTCCTGATTTCAGCTCACATGATCCACGAAATGGCCTTTGAATTGTTTATGTGCAATGTCGCCTTCTAGAGTCCAAAATTGGTTCAATCATTAAGTGTAATCCAATTTTGGACGTTGAATAATTGACAACCCTCATCGAATTGTTTGTGGATAAGCAATTAATTAACTCCTCGAATTCCCCAATCCTTATCACTAACATTGATTAAGATTCTTGAAATCTCTCAGTCTGTCTCACCCACCCTTCAAATTTCTATTATTCTGTGTCATGGCCCTCACCTTTGGACAATGCTTTTCAGAGAAAGACCATTTCTTTATCAAGCATGTACATCCCTAGAAACGAGGATTAAAGAAATAATCTGTGTATAGCTTGTGGTATAATACTATATAAGTAAATTTGTAGTGTCTTTCATCTAAAAAGTATATATGTCACCACATTTCTTATATCACAATATCTAAAATACAAGACCATGAAGCATATTTTGTGTGTGTGTGTGTATATATGTGTGTGTGTGTGTGTGCGCCATTAACTGTTGGGTGGTACGGAAGAAGGAGTGTAACCGTATAAATGAGAGATCCCAAGTTCGAGACCTTTTACTTGCATTTAAAAGAAAGTTTTAAAAAAAAAAAAAAAAAAGATTGTGGATACCCCAATTGTGGCTGATTTATTTACATGATCAAAACTTTGGTTCTTTAAGTGAATACGATCAGGTCACTTTCGTTATTCAAATCTCAGATTGTCCAAGGGATTGTCAAAATCGGAGAAGTTTGGTTTCAGCTAGCTCTTCTAGTCATGGGGAATTGTGCTATTTCAAGAATACATTTCCAAGTAGCTCTAATGATGCTTTTGGCAGTAATAGTACAATAAGAACAATGCTCAACGCCAATGAAACTGTGATCAGTTAATTCCACACAAACGACAATGGCAAATATAATGAATCACAGAACCGAAACAAACATCAGTTTATGACATTCAAAATAATGTGAGTAAGAAAGAGGAGCAAACAGGCTGATGGGCCAAAAACAATAGTAACAAAATTTGATTTTTTTAAGCTTCTAAGAAATCATATTCATCGGTAAGAAACTACTGAAAGAAGCCATTCAAGGTCCCAACTTATAGCTTCTAATGCTAGTTAGAACCACAATATGTGTAAACTGTTTTTTCTAGCATCCGTTTAGGTCATGATTTTGATGTTAAAAATAAAACATGCTAGATGCTAGCAAAAGAGGTAGAGTGGAAATTCCAGCCATGGGCATAAGTACCTAGTTGGAAGTGTTTTCAAATCTCAATGTAAATTAAGAGTCTCGATCAGGCTCATTAGTCCCTCCAGATAACATGATCCCATTGACAAATTATCCTGAACTCTCAAGTTGCATCAATGGTTTCACCTTTCAAAGACTAATCATTACATACAACTTGCAGCTAATCAATAATTCCAAAAGATGCAAGCTGAGGTCTGATTCACAGACCAATTAACAGATCCTGAGCATACAAAGAAAACCTTCGCTGAAAAACAGAAAGTAAAATTAAATACAAAAATATTTTACTAAATGATGAACAGATAATCATTTATCCCAAACACAAGAAGGGAAACTTGATATCCCAATAGAGCTGGATCAGATATTAGCTGCAAGTGTGGATAGGTATTCCGTATTCATACAAATTCAAGTAAGACTTAACTGACCCAAAACAGTTTCAGGAAAAGCCTAGACACTAGTTGCCTGCTTGAAACAACTGTTCAACCTCTGCTATCACTTTTTCTGCTTCTTCAACTTCTGCTCCATGTTTTTCGTTTGACTCTTCCAACTCAAGCTGAAACAAGATTGTGTGACTAGCAGTCAGCAAGCAGAATTCCTCATATACTCCAAATAGTTGAATTATCAAATTGATTCCAATGAAACACTACAGCAATCACAGAAGCAGAACTAGTAATCTAGTACAAACCAGAACCAGACAAGTGATATCCCTCTAGCACTAGAAACAACTAGCTATGTCTGAGTGAATCAACTAAAATTCAACAAAAGATTCCATCAAATTATGTTTGGAAAACAGCAAATCAGCACCATCACATCTCCAGTCTTGAAGAACGTAAATGATATCAGGAAAAGGTGAAATGACCAACTTAGATGCAGCGCAAAAGCCCAAGTTGAAATGCACTGAAAATGCAATCAAGTCCTAGTTTCCTGCAACAACTAGTTAGAACGTTTCATCATTCTTTTGGCAGGATGGGATATTCATCCTATGTAATACGACATTAAAAATATGCGTCATACAAAATCCAAAGTTAACACTTTTCAAGCTACAAACAGTGAATATCCATCAAAAGCAGGACGCAAAGATAAATTTCACTCCAATATAGCACCTCAATCAAGAAATCATGTGACAAGAAGCATATATCTCCAAAATAAATTAGTATCTTACTCTACTCAAATCCCACCAACAACATAGGAGCAAGTGAATTACAGAAAATTTACAGTTTCATATTCCCAATTGCAGAAGTTATCTTCATTTAGGCACTTCAGCTTATTATTACAGCTAATTCAAATAAATTGCTGTTACACTAAACATCAACATATAACCTACCAGAATATTTTTCAGGTCAGCCAAGGCAGCTTCTAGACGCTTGTGGCAATCAGGAATCATCATCCTAGATTCAGCAAGCACATTTTCCTGCATAATTCATCAATTGCAAGAACGTTATAATAGGATACTCTACTACAAAAGAAAGAAATATTAGAGAAAAATTCAAACAGCAAGTTTCGCAGCTTCTATCTGTTAACTGTCATGTAAAAACTGTCTCACTGATCAAAAGCAAGCTTCAAGCAGTCAGGCCACCCTTAAGAGTCAAGTCACCAGAACAATTTAAAGACCCACTCTGCATAATAGATATATCCAGCTAAAAAAGCTTACAACTATGCCATGCATCAAACGACGTACACACCCATCCTCAATGCAAAGAACAAATTAAGGGTATAAAGTTAGAGTTTGAACTAATATACTCAAAAAACACTTGCATACACAATGATTTTTTCCTCAATTGCAATACAAGTAGTGCTTCCAATTGCTAACTTGACTTTGTGAAGAAAGACTGAAATAATATTTGTCCCTCATTTTCCTTCTTAACAGTCATAACTGGCTTTAACATTTGCAAATTGGAACAAACCATCATTGCATTACAGAAAGGAGGGAAGTGGGGGCCTTTTATGACTAGAGTCTTTTATGACTAGAGTCTTTAATAATGGGTAGGATCTTGAATAGCTCCTAGAAAAGCCTTGATTGGTATTATCAGGCTACAATAACCAAAAATTGGGTCAGTTCCCAAACCAGACAGCTTTAGTACTTTTACTATTAAAAAAAATCTAGATCACCACTTATTGTTGAGGTTCACCTGCAAGAGGGCAGAATTGTGAATTTTCCTGATTATCTGGTCCAACCAAAAGGCTAAAGATTTATAGTCAAAGGCAGTGATCCAGAAAGTAAACTAACTGCATAGGAGCAAGTAAGAAGGAAAAACTAAACAGCATTCACGTGCATCCCCTCCAGACTACAGATACAAAAAAATGTGCAGGACAGAGTAAAATAGTTCCTCAATGACTACTTTTAGGACCAAACTTGAAATCATTGATCTAACACTTTATTCAAGAGGATTGCAGTAAATGATGCAGCAACAAAAGTCTCAAAAGAAGGAATGGTTTCTAAACCTAATTTGAAGTTTCCCACTGCCTTCCATAAAAGGAAGACATGATTTTGGCCCGTATTAGGTAGACAAAAATTCCCGAACATGTTAACTCTCAAAACTATTATGTCATTAGCTTATTCAAGTGAATTTTGGATCGAATGACTATCTGGCAACCTATCATCTTTCATCACTCTTCAAGGCATTTCTCTTTTGATGTAAGGATCTCCATTTTTGTTCTGTTTAACTTTCCTTATGGGAGATTAAGCTTGTTATGAGTAATACTCGACGACAACATATGGCATGTCATCCCTTATCTTCCTTTTTCTTTCCTCAACTTTGTGATAAACAATAAAGATTATTTGTTTTTACATAATGACTAAAAGGCACTCTGCTAAGTCTGATACCACCTTCTCTAAATTGACATGACATGTGCTGTAAGAAACCACTATATGATTAGAACTAATGCAGGACCTGCTGTTTGATATCATATGGATCAGCTCCTTTGTCCTTCATGTCTGCAACCTTGGCAGCCTCTCTCTCGACCTCTTTCTCATAGGAATGGAGCTCTTTGACTATGCGCTTGCATGTTGAAGTCTTTATTTTCAGATTTTTCATTGTCGACGCCATTCTGCACAATTTTGTCAAATTAAAATTCCCTGCCAAACCAATATAAAAAATATGTGAAGCGTGTGCGTGTCTAGAGAAAGAGAGACAAATAGACAAAAGAATTTCAATTTATTAATTACAGAAAAACATAAACATACATGGATGAGGGGAAAATATAGTAATAGATCTCGAAAAATGTTTTTCTTTCTTTTCTATACCATTTCTCACATCAGTACGGCCTAATGCAGTCTAACAAATGATCTATCTCTTGTTTATATCACTTCCTTACTTTGCAATATTTTGTAAGCGACCATCTTGACAATTTCATTGTTTATCTGTTATGGTCAACCAAATTGAGATTTGACGGAGTATTTCTAATTGAAACGACCAAAATTTGAGAAAACTTTGAGATTGATCAAAAATTTCCTCTTGCAGGCTCAAGAAAGAAAAAATCCAAACACTTGGAATGTAGGTAATATCACTAGCAGCTTTAAGTCAGTCAGATCACATTCTTTCACTCCCCAGAAGCTCAAGCTTTCTGGTTACAACTTTCTCGAAAATATTGGACATTGCCAGATACCTATCCAGTTAATTCAGAGGGCAAATCTTTTTAGCCAATTCCAAACAATGTGTTGCAATATCTTACTCTGAGAGCATTCAAAACTGAAAGCAACGAAAAGAAGTTGAATTCTTTGGAACATACAACCCCTTGTTTCTATTTCCTAATCTGAGAAACTTGCAGGTTTTCCATTTTCTCATTCTTCTCTGAGTGAGTTGGAACCCTTTACTTTATTCAACATCATAAACCCAATTCAAACACACAAGCCCTTCCCAAAAATCAACACAAATCATGCTGAAAATCCAACCTTTAGATTAGGCAAACAAATAAGCACACAACGTATACAAATTATAAGTACATTAGAAGCAAAGTGCAACGATTTTTTTCCTTTCTTTCCTTCGGAAAGGAAGATCAGAATAAAGCACAGAACAAGCAAAAAAGATAAGATTAATTGATTAACTAATGGGCATTCATGAATCACTTACGGATTTTGTTGGGTTTTTGAGAAGAAAGATGTGGGCAGAGGAGTGAAGCCAAGAGAACACCAACGACGAGCTCGAAAAATGATGCTCTTTAATTTTCTTTTTCCCCTTTTCTCTCCAATCTTCAGGGAGTCAGCGACTCTTCCCCTGCCAACAATTTCTGGCCTTGTCCTTTTCGCATTTCTTTTTTTTGTTTTCTCTTTTGTTTGAGTACATATTAGTACAAATTAGGGGTGTACATTCGGTGCAAATTCGGTAATTCGGTGCACTGAATTCGATGAATTCGGTTATTCTACCTGTAAAAATTTAAACCGTTTTCAATTCCGAATTGAGCATAACCGAATTCATTCCGCAACCGATTTCAAATTCGAAAACGATAATGAATTCGGTTAAACCGAATTCATCTATTTAAAAAAAAGATAATAATACCCTGTTATCAGCTTAAGTTTGCAACACTGCTTCCGTACAACTTACAGGCTATGAGGCTAATTGCAAACTAATTCTAATTGCAAACTTACAGGCTACAAGCCTACAACACCAATTCAAAGGAAATCAACATCCAAATTATTACACACACATTACAAATGCCAAAATCCAGCAAATACAAATCTGGAGTACCAAGTACCAACTGCCAATATACAATGCAACTACAAGTTATTCAAAGTAACACTAACACACACTTTTCAAGTTCACATTTCACAAGTCACAATGAACTGAATGCAGAAACCAGAAATCAGAAATCATTCAAATTGAAAAGAATACATAATGGCAAATTGTCTTGAAAATTCAAATTACAAATGGCTATTATGGCTTAGATAACAGAAACTCAGTCAAAATCTGAAAACTGACTGCAACATAATTTAGTTCCAGACTTCCATTATCTTTAAAGAGTGATTGAAGTTTGCAATTGGAAGCTCAGATTTCGTCCCCTTATCAATTCAGGATAACAAATTTCCAAGTCGATCTTGGCCATTTTACTGCCAGAGATGAGCACTTACCTAAGCGAGCCAGAGATGAGCAGTGATTGGTGCTTCGGCTTTGGCACTCAGCAGCGATGAACCAGCACGGCAGGGATGAACTGGTGAAGTGAGAAATTCGGTCGAATGAGGACTGAGATGGAGACAGGAGAGACGTAGAGTGCGGCGGAGAGCAGCTTCGATTTGGGAATTGGGACTTGGGAGTGAAGCTGTGAAAGCCCTAAGTGAAGGCACTACCGCACTAGGCAGTGATTGTTCAAATTATCAGCTGAAATCTGACTTTTCCCAAATTCATCCGAAGTGATTGTATAATTTTTAATTTATAAATTGGGGCTCCTAAATTATAATACATTCATTATGCTCCTCAATGATTTATAAATTATTACTGATTTGATCCCAAATTTATTCATAATTGAACACATTACTTATGTTATAATCATTTTGTGGTTTAATTGGCATTTATTGGGTCACTTATACCTAGAATCCTTAGTCTATGATTTAAGAAACACATAAAAAGTGATTAATTTAAATTAGAATAAACCTTAGACTATACAATGATTGGTGATAATTTATGAATTTATAATTTACAATGATTAATAATAAGCAATATTAGTTAGTAGTTACAATGAATTTATAATTTACACTGATTAATAATAAGTAATATTAGTTACAAACTTACAAATTACAATGATTAGTGATAAGTTATATTAGTTACAAATTTATAATTTATTTCAAATCAAAATAAAAACTTATTTACTTACACATGTTATTGTGAAAGTCAATATACTAATACATTGATTTGCAATTCACATACATTCACTTACAGTCTTACACTGCTTAGTTGTCTTGTCTATACTTAAAGCCTTAAGATTAGTAAATAGATAATATGAATTTTAACTTATTTGATAACTTATGCCTAAAATCATTAGTCTATGATTTAAGGAACACATAAAAAGTGATTAATTTAAACTAGAATAAACCTTAGACTGTATAATGATTAGTGATAATTTATGAATTTATAATTTACAATGATTAATAATAAGTAATAGTAGTTACAAACTTACAAATTACAATGAGTAGTGATAAGTTACATTACTTACAAACTTATAATTTATTTCAAATCAAAATAAAACTTATTTACTTACATATATTATTGTGAAAGTCAATACATTAGTACATTGATTTGCAATTCATAAGCATTCACATGCACTGCTAACTATTTAGTTGTCTTATCTATACTTAAAGTCTTAAGAATTAAGATTAGTGAATAGATAATATGAATTTTTATGTTAAATATGTAGAGTACACTAATACTTGCAAGTTAGAGATTACGCATTCAAATATTCAATAATTCAAACATGAATGATGTATCAAATTACCAATATCTAAATTTAATTACTAATTATGTTTATTGTTTAATATTTAGTATTATACATATATGTGTTAATTATTATCTAATTCTAGTCATATTACTCATGTATAAAATAATAAGTATTATAGTTATCTTATATTGTTATGTATTACTATATATTTGTATTATTATAGTCATATAAGTATATAACAATTAACAAATACTAAAATAATATATTGTACATTATTATATATTATTATTATTATAAGTACATGATATGATGATAAATTGATAATACCATATACTAATTATTATTAATAGCATTTACCTATATAATATAATAAAGTATTAGTAGTATATACTAATACTAAATAACATTTATCTATATATTATATAATTTTATATACCAATTTGGTAATTCGAATGCGGTAATGTGGTACCCGATTTTAATTATCGAATTTGAATGCGAAATCGGTTATTACCTAATTCATAATCTCATTACCTATTTTTAGAATTCGGTGAATTTGGTACGTACCGAATTTGTACCAAATTATCAAATACCCGATTTCAAATTACCGAATTAAATTTAAAATCGGTCATGAATTCGGTAAGAACTGAATTTGCTCACCCCTAGTACAAATGATCATCAAACTATTTTAAATTCTCCTATTTTGGTTAATAGTAAACATATTTTTTGTGTAAAAATAATCATTCAACTAAGAATTTTATCATTCAACTAGTAAAATTCTTTATGTTTTTTGTCACGCACGTAATTAAAAGATATATGAAATTTTCCTCTCCAAAACTATTATTATTATTATTATTATTATTATTATTATTTGGTCAAGTACATTTGTATTAGTTGAATAACCAATCTTTTTTAAAGTAAAGAGCAAAACTAGTTGCTAAACTGTTTGGAATTACCTATTTTTAAAGTATATTTTTTGTTATGTTTTTTGTCACAAAATTCGTGACATTTGTTAAATAGTTGAGTGATAATTTGTGACATTTCCTCAAAAATTCAACAATCAAAATGGATTACTTTAATTAATTTAGTAATCATTTATGCTATTTTGCCCTTCTTTTCTTTCTTTTGCTTTTCTTCTTCTCCCCAAGAATACATTTTACACCCCCATAAATTAATAATACTAAAAATTTAGATTTCCCCCCTCTAACTTTCGAAATCAATACACCCGTGCAGTTTTAGGACTCCAGTCCAAAATCGACTTATCAGATTTTTAGACTCTGACTGAATTGGGAGCGACTCAGCTAATCAGCTGTCATTTAGCTTCCACCACAATGCAGACGACGAAGAGCTCCGATTTGCCACCTCAACCAACCCGGGAAGAATCCGGACCCGGAGCAACAGACTCCGCATCCCCATTCAAAAGCGGGCAGAGAGTTCACTCCGCCGGCGACACCAGGCGAATCGGAACGGTCAAGTACGTGGGATCCGTGGAAGGCTATTCGGGGACATGGGTCGGAGTCGACTGGGACGACGGCGGCCAAGGCAAGCACGACGGTTCCCACAATGGCGTCCAGTATTTCCAAGCCAGAGGACTCAAGACAGCATCTTTAGTCCGCCCGCATAACTTGAGCTCCGGGATCACGCTGCTGGAGGCCCTTCAAGTTCGCTATCGTGGTACTTCCACTAAAGAAGAAGAAGGTAATAGGCATATCCAAAAGTTAAATCGGGTGTTGTACTGTGTGCTTTAAAGGTCTTTGTTTCTGTTTTCTTTTTCTTTCTTTTTTCTTTGTTGGTGAAACGTGAAGGGTTTTTGGTGCTTTTTGAAAACGTGAAATGGGCTGTGGAGTTCTTGTTGTTGCTTAGAGATAGTGCTGTATTCTCTGCTTCAATGGCTGTATCTTTAGTCCTTGTCTAAAGCATTTTCAGTTCTTTGTTTTGTTTTGGTGAAAATGGCGGTTCAAGGGATAATGAGTATTTCATGTTTCCTTGAAATGTGAAATGCAATGTAGAGTTTTTAATATTTATGCTGCTACTGTGATTATACCTCTATTGTTTTTGTCACTATTTTCCTATGTATATTCACGATAATGTAGTATTCTTTCGTTTTGTCAGTTTTCTTTTCATCCGTTTCATGTTTGTTAAGATGACAACTGCAATATATAGGTTTTAAGTGTAATTTTGTGGTATATATTCCAGATGAGATGTATGTGCTTTCTTCAACGAATAAACGGGTATCAATTGAGCTTCTTGGCAAAGAAAAAATTCAAAACAAGCTGAGTAGATTTGAAGAGTTGACGGGCGTGTCACTCTCTTTTCTGGGGGTTAGCTCTCCTGGACCTTCAAGCCAAATCAGTAATACTCTACCAAGTGAGTTTGGCCTCTTATGGTCAGTCATTTTGTATATTCTACATTCCACTTCTCTTAACAGTGTTCCACATATGTATGTTTCACAATTTTCAATTTCACTAGTCAAATCCTTTCAAGTATTTCGATGTTTCTCTGCCATCCTTTTACTTGTTCTATTTCCTCTCTGATTTTATGACCAATATCTGTTTCTACTGCAAAACATTTCCACCCTGCCAACCGGCTTTTATTTTGTGAGACCTATGACTATTGAAGATCTTACATTGGATTCATTGCAGATTTGAAGCAGCTGGATTTGAGTGGAAATCTGCTTTCTGATTGGAAAGTATGTCCATTTGCTGGTAAAGATATACATCCAAAAAATTGGGGGATAAAAAGGATGACCTGTTAGAGCTTTTGTCATATTGATAATTGATTACTGCTACCTTTCATATTGATTGCATGCTTTACCCAATAATCCTGATATGAATGGTCTCTGCACTCTTTTGCATATGTCCATTATAATCCATTTAACACTTTTATTCTGTATATTGTTCTGCAGAATTGTTGCACACATATCTACTCAAACTAATCTGTAATAGAGAAATGCCTATGGCCAAATAATGACTCTTAATAATTATGAGTTTTGTGTTCTAAGGAAACTTTCGCTTTGATCAGATCCTACCAGTAGTATACAACCATACATCAGCTCATCCTTGCACTTCCTGAGATTCTTGAACCCTTTCATATGCAATCGTTATCATATGCAATCGTTGTAAATAATGTGCTTCTTATCCTTAAATAGGGAAATCTTCTTGAAGCTTAGTAACTGCAGTCTAAGGAAAATCTTCATGCAGGATGTTGGCATCATATGTAAAGAGTTACCTGCACTTGAAGTTCTCAATCTATCCTACAATTCAATGTTACATGATACAGTTGAGATACCCAAGCTACACAATATAAGGATTCTAGTTTTGAACCATATCGGCATAAACTGGAAGCAGGTGTGGACTCCTCTTGATTGTTCAAGTTTCTTTTGTTGTTGATGCTTTTCCTTTCTTTAGACGTGTGATGATACCTTTTCTAATATATGGTCTCATTTGGCAGGTTGAAATGCTTAAAGATTCAGTTCCACGCATAGAGGAGCTTCATCTGATAGGGAACAATATAAAAGAAATTACGGTCAGTGTTTTCCCATTGCCATGATATTTTGCCTTTGGTTTGTCACTCAAAATTCCTGAAACATCTGATTAGGTGAGATGCACTGGTGACCAAAAAGGAATAAAAAAAGGACCATTGCACTAACATTTGCATTTTGAACCAGCCAAAAAGTGTGAGATAACTAACCTGGTGATCTATGTAATTCAATGAGTCAGCTGCATTGGGCAGAGTTAAGACACTGAATAAAAATATAAATAACAGTTAATTACCATGGTAATCACTCGGCTCAATTTCTTAGAGTGTTGGCTCTTATCCTTGTATATGATCTAGAAATGGAAGACCAGCAACAACCAATTTTCTCGACATTAGTAGTCAAACTTGTTATCTCAAAAGAGGTCTCCATCCCAGATTGCATTCAATTTATTAAATTTCATGTATAACCACTAT